TTTGATCTTCTTGTTATTTTCTGCTTTGTATTTAATGGAATTAGACCAGCCTATGAATTTTCCCCCAACTCTTTCTTTCTTCTTATTTTATATAACAGACAGCAGAGGGGAAGGTGTCTGTCTTGCTCGGCTTTCTATCTCTGCATCATGCTAGGAGAGTGCCGTATTCCCAGGGGCCTTGTCAATCTTCCTGGGGAGGTGGGACCACAATCAACATCTTGAAGGATCCCAAACTCCTGCCCCAGATAAGACATGGGTCTATAAAACAAATCCTAGAGTGGAACAGCTCTCCATCATCCAGGAGAGGAGAAAATGTTCTGTGCAGGAGAATTGTTTATTTTCATCCACTCATTCACTTATTAAGTGTCACTATTAGCCAGGCACTAAGGGTACAGAAGTGAACAAAGCCATCATTGATCCTGCCCAAGTACATTGCCTGGCGCACAGTAGGCGCTCAATAAGCGGTGGCCACTGTTGATTATCATTCTTCTGGAAGTATCTATGATAGTGCAAGATATTTACTCATGTTCAACAAATGTTAGTTTCCTCCCTTCTAGAGACACTATCTTGGTACGATATCTGTTTATTGGTCTTTGTTATTGTTTTAATACAAAAAGAATAGAGGGGTGAAATTAAAATGTTCACTCTGGGCTAGTCTGGATTAGAAGATAGTCATTAGATACAAAAAGACATGTAATTAAAAATTGTGATAACCAGGATAAAGAAAAAGCACAGGGTGATACGGGAGGATTTCATTTAGAAAAGGGTGGGAGAGGAATCTGGAGCCTGCATCTGAAAGAAGCATCGCAAGAACAGAAAACCAAACACCGCATGTTCTCACTCATAGGTGGGAACTGAACAATGAGAACACTTGGACACAGGAAGGGGCACATCCAATACCGGGGCCTGTTGTGGGGTGGGAGAGGGGGGAGGGATAGCATTAGGAGACATACCTAATGTTAATGAGGAGTTAATGGGTGCAGCACACCAACATGGCACATGGATACATATGTAACAAACCTGCATGTTGTGCACATGTACCCTAGAACTTAAAGTATATATATAAAAAAAGAAGCATCACATAACCCAGTGGCTCTCAAAGTGGGGTTCTCTCAGCCATAGAAGCAGCAGCATCAGGAACTTACTAGAAATCTACATTTTCAGGCTGCCCCAGAACTACTGAATCAGAAACTTTGGGCACTAGCCTTTCCAGGTAACTCCAATATTCTCACAAGTGTGACAACTGCTTATGTAAGCTGAGACCGGAAGGAAGAGTTGGAGTTGGCCAAATGGTGGGGAGAAAGAAGGCTTTCTAGGTGGAGAAGATAGCATGGACTGGGGCACTGAGGCAGCAAAGACCACCAGAGCTAGGGTGTAGGGAGGGAGTGTGAGAATCAGACCTTTCAGTGTCTTAAAACAACTGGAAAGAGTGTGAATTTTCTAAGTCCACCAGGATCCCCTAGGGCAGGGGTCCCAGTCTGTGGCCTGTTAGGAGCCGGGCCGTACAGCTGAGTTGAGTGGTGAGTGAGTGAGTGTTACTGCCTGAGCTCTGTCTCCTGTTAGCTCAGCAATGGCATTAGATTCTCATAGGAGGCTGGGTGCGGTGGCTCACGCCTGTAATCCCAGCACTTTGGGAGGCCAAGGCAGGTGGATCACTTGAGGTTAGGAGTCTGAGACCAGCCAGGTCAACATGGGGAAACCCTGTCTCTACTAAAAATACAAAAATTAGCCAGGCATGGTGGTGGGTGCCTGTAATCCCAGCTACTTGGGAGGCTGAGGCACAAGAATCGCTTGAACCTGGGAGGCGGAGGTTGCAGTGATTCAAGACTGCACCACTGCACTTCAGCCTGGGTGACAGAGCAAGACTCTGTCTCAAAAAAACAAAAAACAAAAAAAACACCACCAACAACAAAAATTCTCATAGGAACTGTGCATGCAAAGGATCTAGGTTGTGCACTCCTTGTAAGAATCTAATGTCTGATGATCTGAGATGGAACAGTTTCATCCTGAGACCATCCCCACCCCACCCATGGAAAAACTGTCTTCCATGAAACCAGTCCCTGGTTCCAAAAAGGTTGGGGACCACTGCCCTAAGGAGTTCTAAGCAGAGAAATGAAGCCACAGGGTGTCGATGTCATAGAGTCCTATCACTGCCCACAGCTGGCTGCCAGCTGCTCCTGGTACTTCCCTGGCCTCACCTGCCCTGTTGGAGGGGCCCTTCTCAGTGCCTGAGAAAATGACACTCTTGGGTGGTGCAGGAGGTCCTGGTAGAAGCCTCTTTCTTTTCATTCCATGCCTTTTGATACATGGTGGGATTTTCTGTCTTCATATTTTATTTTTACCTCTTTTCAAATATCAATAAGTGGCAACAAAACAGTGGGATTATCAGTTATTTTTGTTTCTGCTCCACAAGTTCTTGAATTTTATGAAATAAAAGCAAACAAAATTTTATAAAGTCAATATTTATCAAATATTACATGTCAGGTTTTTTTTTTGAGATTTCTCTCTTCATTCATTCAACAAATATTTTGTGAGCCCCTGCTGTGCCCTGGGCATTGTGCAGGCATGGGGATAGAAACGGAGACCAGCATTCTGCCTCCACGGAGCATCTGTGCTCATGGCAGGAGTCAGACCAACAAAGTCCAAGAGCAAAATGTATCTCAGAGTCTGCCTGGGAAGGGGAGTGAGGCATCCCAGGTGGGGCTGGTCAGGGAAAGCCTGAGAAGGTGGCAGCTGGGCACAGCCTTGGGGAGAGGAGGCAGCAGCGTGGGAGGGATGAGCAGGTGGATAGGGATGGGAGGCTCACGAGCAGGTGGGTAGGGATGGGAGGCGGGAACAGCAAGCACTGAGGTGCTGAGCAAGAGCAGGAAAGGATGCAGGGCTTAGTGGGAGGAGGAGGAGAGGACAGGGAGAAGTGGGGAAGAGCCTCACTCAGGATTTTGGCTTTTACACAGAGTGACACAGGGGCCCATGGGCAGGGCAATGGGTATTCTGACATTCTGAAAGGGCCACTGGGCTGCTTGCTGAGAACAGCTGGTGAGAGGGGCAGGGCAAGAAGGAGAGAAGGGAGCTGGCAGGAGAACCTGATATAAACCAGGTGGGAGCAGATGGGAGCCTGGGCTAGAGCAGCAGAGAGTGGGATACGGTCAGATGCTGGATGGCCTCTGAACTGAGTGTCGGTGGGATCTGCTGCTGGGCCAGAAAAGGGATGAGAGAGGAGGCTTGAGGATGACCTGAGTGATGAAAAGACAGCACTGCCACTTAAGGGGCCAGGGAAGGCTAGGGGAGAAGCCAGCGTTTCTAGGGGAAGGAGTTGCTGGTTAATTCAGTGTTGGGCATGTGAAATTTGAGATGCCATTGTGTTGCTTTGGATGTCCCAAGGGGCAGATGCCAAGACAGGATTGGACATGGGAGAGACTTACTGGGGGCAAAGGCTGTGAAGGACAAAGGGGAGGCAGCAGGCACTGGCAGACTGTCATGCAGGCCTGGCACCCATGAAAGGAGAGGGGGATGGAAGGAGGCCTGGGAGGAAGAGCTTCCAACCACAGCACAGCTCCAAGAGCATTCACTCAGGCCGATGGAAGGTCCTTGAGCCAAAACCTCCCATGGGGTATCCAACATCCCACATGTGCGGACCTGCCCTGGCACCACCCCCTCTAACCCCATCCCACCTGCTCAGCTATTGGCTGGGAGAAGCCCACATCATGTGCGGCTTCAGCACGCCATAGGGGTGGGCCCACTGGGGCAGCAGTGGGGTGTCGGTCACCGTGGTCCCCTCAACAGAAGGTGTGAGTGGAGCAATTTTACAGCCGCCACAGGCTATTAGACACGTAAGTGGAGATATGTAGTAGGCAGTTTAGATATACGAGTGTGGAGTTCAATGCAAGGTTCAAGGAAGAGATAAAAATTTAAGTGTCTTCAGCTTATAAATGGTATTTAAAGGCATGAGAATGGATGAGTGCGTGCACAGCTGGCGGGGACAAACGCTCCAAGGACTGAGTCCTGAGGCACGTTTGCATTTAGAAGAGTCAGCAACAGTGGCCAGGGAGGTAGGAGGGAAACCAAGAGTCTGTGAGGTCCCGGAAGTCAAGTCAAGAAAATGCTTCAGGGAGGAGGGAGCACTACCTTTCAGAAAATCGCCCATCACACTAGTGAGCATCCTCACAGGCCAGGCAATGTGCTAAGGACTCTGTGTGCAACACCACACTCCACGATTCTTCTCCCCTGTTGTGGGTGGTGTGCTGTGCTGCCTGGATGCCCTGTCAGGGCCAACACAGCCATTCCCCAGTTGCTGGAAGTGTTGGCTGCTGATGCTAAAGGTCACACCCCCTCCCTGGGGTCAGCCTATACCCAGAGACAGTTGACACAGCCTTCCTGCCACATTTGGGACATCTCAAGTGGACCATCTGGTTTACAAGCTCCTAGTGGGACCAGCTGAAGCCTCCGTTGTAGCTACAGAGTCAGGTAGATTCCTCCATCAGAGTAAAGAACCGCTGACTGCATGGGCTGGGGGGATGGGGTGCTACTTGCTACGTCTTATCTTAAAGAATCTTTTGGATGCTTCGGTGAGAAACAGGAAACTTGCAGACTTTCTAGCCAGTCCATTGTAAATTGTGACCCACTTCACCCTCTCCTGACACTCCCACCTTTCCCACCACTTTTCCTCTTTTCTATAGCACTTACCACCTGCCAACCTGTGATTTAATTTCCTTATTTATTTATCTACTGTTTATTATCCATCTTCCTTCTTTCCCACAATGTCAGCTCTAGGAAGGCAGGGATATTCATCCGTTTTGTCCACTGATGTATCCCAAGTGCCTAGAACAGTGCCTACTGCATAGCAGGTGCCAGTGTACACACACAAAATGAGTTCCCAGATGGGCTGACCTTCAAGAGTTTGCAGCCCAACTCTCCGTTTTTGCTGAATCCCATCATCCCATGTGAAAAGAATGAACCAAACTTCCAGACCCACAGAGGCAGCATGGGGTGCTGGGACTTACCACAGTTAGGAGGCAGTCTCCTCACCCACAAGGTGGGATGCCAGGGATGGTCTGATTGCCACATGGTCACAGGGAGCCGCCTCGAAGCCTTCCTGTAATGCTGTCAGTGAGGCCAGCTCTACAGATGGAACCCATAGTCCAAGTCGAGTCTGAGGCCGTTTCAGGGGCATCCTCAGCACCTCAGTGGTGCTGGGAGGGAGGTTCTTTGAGATCCACACACACTGAACTCCTACAGGAGAAGACAGACCCATTTTAGACTTTCGGCTGCTCTGAAATGGGGGACTTATTGTGAGATTCCTGTACTACAGAAAAGAGACTCAGCTATTCCTCGTGATAAGCGGGCATGGCTTTCAAAGGGAAGTCCTGCCTTCGCTATTTGGCCAAGGCCATGTGACCTTGGCCAAGTCAAAAAAATATCCTGGAACCTCATTAGCTGTCGCTAACTGTCAAATGGGAAATGAGTGAGATTATGTGCCTGAAAATGTTTTGTAAATTCCAGGGCAGTGGTTCCCAGACTTTGAGATTTCATAGACAAGGGAAGTTTCCAGTAATCTGGAGCTCACATAAGGATTCCAGCTTTCTATTTTGCCACCTAAGGACATTGAAACACAAACAAGCAATGAAGCGGTGGCTTGCCCATTGTCACTATTCTGTCCTCAAAGGCAGAACACACTTTACGCTAAAAATGGAAGGAGGCCAAAAATCTGAACAAAAGATAGTCTTTGCAGCTTGGGAAAAAAAAAAATGAACTTAAAGGAAAAACTCACTGACTTGTCCTTGATTTTCTCATGTTGCCAAAGACAAGGGAAGTTTTTCTCTGGGAACATTGTGAAATGATGAAATGAGAGCACTGGGATGGCGCACCAAGGCAACCAAGAGAAGCTGCCGACCATGGAGGCGGAGACCCAGAGCTTCAGGCTCTCAGGGCCTGAGGGGGGTCAAAGTCTCCACCCACCTGACACCCATTTGAAGCATGCTGGTGCACAAAGGAACTGCAGGTGGGAAGCTTTCTGTAGGGTTCTCTGTGGAGGACAGAGTAAAGGGCCTCTCTTCACAGGAGGAGTGAACTGGGAGTCAGGACCTGGTTAGCAGGAACACAACGTCCATGCGGTCAATCCTGAGCGCTGAGCACTGTGCGAAAGGCTTCTTGAAAGTTATAGGAAGGAACTATTATTCGTTTTGCGGCTTGGGAAACTGAGACACACAGAGGTTTCTGTTGCTTCCCCAAATCTCACAGTTAGTCAGTAACAGAGCTGGGGCCCTCATTCAGCCAGCCTGGTTGCAGAGAAAGTGTGTTTAACCACTCACTCCAAAGCATGACCTCCAGAGCGAGGAACGGGCTGCTCTGCTGATGCAAAGAGGCAGATTTCTAGCAGAATCAGCCTGATCCTGATGCTCACAGGCTGGCAAGTTGGGTCCAAGGCAGCAAAGCTACTTTTCTGTATGAGTTTCCCACTGTAATGGAACAGTGACCTCCATAAAGGTGTGTCCAAGTCCCAAATCCCTGGAATCTGTAAAGGGGGCTTTATTGACCTTATTTAGGGAAAGGGCTTTTGCACAGGTAATTAAAGATCTTGAGATGAGGGATGGGTGCAATGGCTCAGGCCTGTAATCCCAGCACGTTGGGAGGCCAAGGCGGGCGGATTACTTGAGTCTACAAGTCCAAGACCAGCCTGGGAAACATGGTGAAACCCCATCTCGACAAAGAATACAACAACGAGCTGTGATGGTGTGTGCCTGTGCTCCCAGCTACTCGGGAGGCTGAAGTGGGAGGATCACTTGAACCAGGGAGGCAGAGGCTGCAGTGAGCTGAGATCACACCACTGCACTCCAGCCTGGGCAACAGAGCCAGACCCTGTCTCCAGAAAAAAAAAAAAAAAAAGAAAGAAATCTTGAGACAAGATCATCATTAACTCAGGTTAGCCCCTAAATCCACAGAAGGGTATTCTTATACCAGACAGAAAAGGAACAGACACAGAGACATAGAGGAGAAAGCCACAAAAGGACAGAGGCAGGGACTGGAGGGATGCGAGTCTGGGAGCCCCAAGGACTGTGCAGCCCCCAAGCTGGGAGAGGGCCTTGGAAGGGATCCTCCCACAGAGCCTCCCTTAGAAAGCAACTCCGCTGACAACTTGAATTTCGACTCTGGCCTCCCGAATTGTGGGAGAAATACATTTCTGTTGTTTTAGGCCACCAGTTTGTGGTAGTTTTTAAAAGCAGTCCCAGGAAACTCACACATCCCCTTTCCTACTTCCTCCGCGCCAGCTTCCAAACCTCTCCCCCAGGAGAGGATCAGAGAATTACGCCCAGCCCTCCAGCAGTGAGCTGCTCCCCCACTCCATTCATCTCCCCGTTCCCCACATTCATCCCCCACCCAACCCACCGACAAAATGCTGAATCGGTGGGTGAGATCCCCATAGCAACGGCTCCGATGCCAGAACCCAGGATTACGACACCGGATCAGCCAGAGACGCGCTAGAGGGGCCCAGGAGGGGCTGCCGCAAAAACGCCTGGCAGAGGGGCGGCAGCGCGCGGCAAATCCCCCGGGGCTTACGGGAGCGGCTCTTCAGGAGACAGCGCTGGATGAATCGGGCGGGATGGAGGGGGGATCATCTGCAGGCGCCAACGCAAAACCGCCGCAAGACGTGGCCAGGCCGGGAGGCTCCTGCGTCCGGCCCGCGCTATGGCCCTTGCGCGGGGACAAAGACGAGGCCATCGCCCTCGCGTGTTCCCAAAGACACCCAACCTCATCAGGAGGCCGCTCCCTCCGCCGCCTGGGAGGGTCCCACGCGCCCTGGCCCCTGAGGACGTCCCCTCGGGGATGTGCCTGACGGGGCACTCCTCGCCCTCTGACCTCCAGCCTCCAGCCTCCAGCCTCCTTGCTCTGCCCGCGTGGATGCAGCCCCTGGTTCAGACACTAGCGGGTGCGCGAGACCGCCCAGGGCGGGCGGTGGGGGACACGGCCCTCCCTCCGCTCTAGTCCCCCAAAGCCCCCGGACGCCGGACGCCGCTGCCGCGCCCCCTGCTGGCTCCCTCCGGCAGGCTCCCGCGTCCCACTGGGGCTCCTCTCCCGCAGCAGCAGCGCGGTCAGGGCTTCCCCGCCCCGCAACCTCCACAACTCCCCAGCGTTCCCGTTCCTGCTGCCGCCGCCCTCTCCACCCAGGCTCCTGTCACCCACCACGGGCGTTCACACCCTCCCATCCATCGGCCTCCCCCGGCCTGACGGTCCTGGCTCAGGTAAATCCCAGCCTGCACTTCCCCAAGGAAGTCCCCCTCCACGCACACACCCTACACTCACGCACACATTTACACACACACGTCCTCACACAGGCAGTCAAATGCAGACACCCCCACACGCACACGTACACACACACCCTCACACGCTCACACATTTACACACAGTCACACAAAGACACATATACACTCTATTACACACATTCACACACACACCCCTCACACATTCTCACACATTTACAGCCTCACACACACATTCCCACATATTCCCACACGCCCATGCCTACACACTCACATTCACACACCCTAACACACACAGTCACAAACACAGAGACACACACACAGAATCACATATACACACACACAGAATCACATAAACATATCCACACACACACAAGCACACAGAATCACATATACACACAATCACGTATACACAGAGACACACACACAGAGATACACAGAATCACACATTCACACAGAATCACATATACACACACAGAGACACACAGAATCACACATACACACAGACTCACATATGTACACACACACAGAATCACATATACACACACAGAGACACACAGAATCACACATTCACACAGAATCACATATACACACACAGACACACACACAGAATCACATATACACACACAGACACACACAGAATCACATATACACACACAGAGACACACACACAGAATCACATATACACACACAGAGACACACAGAATCACACATACACACAGACACACATATGTACACACACACAGAATCACATATACACACACAGAGACACACAGAATCACATACACACAGAGACACACACAATCACATATATATACACACAGAGACACACAATCACATATACACACATACAGACTCACATTCACATACATGACACAAAGACAAACACACAGGCACACGCACTCATTCACATAGACACTCATTCACACAGACACACACAGACACACACAGAATCACATATACACACCCAGAGACACACACAATCACATATACACACACAGACACACAGAATCACATATACACACACACAGAGACACACACACAATCACATAAACATACACAGAGACACAATCACATAAACACACACAGACACACCGAATCACATATACACATACACACAGAGACACAGGCATACATTCTGCACACATTCACACAGACTCATCCACACAAAGACACCCCCTCACACAGGATCACACCACATGCACACTCATTCACACACAACAGACACCAACACACACAGAAACTCATTCACAGACTCACACACCACACACACACACAGACAGATCACAAAAACTCACAGACACATATATGCACACACATTCACACACTCATGCAAGATACATGCAAATACAGAGACACACGCAGACACACAAACACACACAGACCACTCAGATACACACACACCAATGCACACAGGTACACTCATTTGCACACCACACAGACCCACTTACACACCAGTATACATGCTGGCACACTCATACACAGACCTATAAACACACAGACCCACCCACACTCAGACATACTCATTTGCATACCCACTCAGCAATACACACAGACTCACATTCACATACATGACACAGAGACAAACTCACACAGGCACACACACCCTATTACGCACATTCTCACAACAGACATGCTTACACACATTCACACACTCACACAGGCACACACACACACATCTCCTACTGAAGCCCAGGCAGTGTCTACCACCTACCCAGACACTGTGGACAGTGGAGTGGTGAGAGGCACAGGTGTGTTCAGGTCAGACAGGAGGGATCTGAGCAGAGGCATCATGAGCCCAAGGGTGCCTTGGTGGCAAGGACATCACCTACTGTTTCTCTGCATCCTCCCCCCCACCCCAAGTCATGCAGCGCAGTGCAGGGCACACAGGTTTGTCATAAGTGTTTCTTCAATGAGCAAACAGGAGCTACCCAAGCTTCAATGTAGGTAAGAATGCATAGTGGCCGCCATTTTACATGTTGAACTTGGAGCTTCAAAGCAGCCTTGGATAAAACCACTGGGCCATTCTCCAAAAAAGGAGAATGGGAATGTCAACATCCTTAATTGTCTGCCAGTATTCTATGTACTTCCTGACTCAGAGCCTTGATTGACAAAATCCCCGTTCCAAGAAAATGTCCCTGCATCACTGTAGGCACTGTGTATTTGGCAAGTAAACTTTCGACTTTGGGTTGTGGCATGAATAAATAAATGACTAAATCAGCAAGCAGTTTTCCCTGCACCTTAGCACAGGTCTGGGTACAATGAAGGCATCAGTCAAGATGGGAGGGTGGTGGGTGGGAGTGGCCTTTAAAAGATGGGAGTTCTGCCTCAGCTCACTACTTGGTTGGGCACAGTGACCCATGCCTGTAATCTGAGCACTTGGGGAGGCTGAGGTGGGAGGATCATTGAGACCCTCGGGTGGAGGTTGCAGTGAGCCATGATAGAATGAGATGTTGTCCAAAAAAAAAAAAAAAAAAAAAAAAAAAAAAAAAAAAAAAAAAAAGAAAGAAAGAAAAAAAAAGGAAGGAAGGAAGTAAAACCCAAAAAGCAAAAACCAAAAACCTCACTTCTAAGGCACTTTCTGGAATCGTTCCACTCCACTCTGATCTCCCTCTTTATTGGGCATCATTTTGGTAAGTAATGAATTCACCCTGAGCCCCATTCCTGTGTGGGATTAACCATTTCACTACCCTGGATGTGTGAGTATGTGTGAACCTATCGCCATCACCTCTTCTCCCATTAGTCTGTAACTCCACCTGAGCAGATCGGGCTGTTTCCATCAAGATTTCTTTGGCAACGATGACACAACTCTGCCAGCAGCAAGTGTCCAGCCAGACACCTGGGTCACCCCCTAGTTGGAGGGTGTTGGGGGAAGTTCTGGCATGAGCAGCTCCACTTCGGATGCTTCCTAGAGTAGATGTTCTGGCTGGTGTCCATGGGGATGGAAAGGGAGAGGGACTTCCTTAGTCACTGCCACGCATGTCTTCTCCTTTATGGGAAAATATCTGA